AGGCCCCTTTTTCTAAGAAGCTGTGCAGTTCAAGTTCCATTCAACGCAGCGACAAGCAGCTCTGTTCCACTAACGGCTTCTACTCCACCACACTTCTGATGAGGGAGAAGACTTAACAGTTCACCAAGAAACACAAGCACTTTCTACCTTATACCAGGTATTCTCTTTAAGACATCCTTTCAGAAAATTACAGCAAAAGGCAGGGAATGAGACAAAGTTAATTGTCCTTGAAGTTCCAGTGGTCAGTTCCAATATAGCATCTTGGAGAATACTTGCTCTGTCCAACAGTAAACATACAAGATATATTTGCACTTCAGCTTTCAGCAAAAATCTTGCAGTATCACACCTGGCTTTAAGTCAAAACCCAAGTAAGATGCTGCCACCCTATTCAGGGATCCGTGTCTATTCCTCTTTCAAGCACAATTATGCCTTTAGGCAAAGACCTTCTTGACTAGTGTCCTGATCAAAGCTAATTAGGAACTTCCTCAATGTACCAGAATAGTCTTAATAGATGCTACCAAAGTCACAGTCAGATACTAAAAGCTAAATTCTGCACAGAGAACACCCATTCTTAATTCTTAATGCTCAGAGTGCATTTTAGAGGCAGTACAGAGTGTGCCAGACCCTCCCGCTAGGCTGGAAAGCAAATCTCTTTGGTTTGCCTGAAAACTACAGATTCCAAATACTCATAACAACACCTACTGACCCGTCAGAGGCCAGCAGTTCCCGTGCTATGTGCATCAAGCTAATGAGCAATGCAAACACGAAACACTGCCCGGTCACTTATGTCATCAGCTATCAGGTGACTGACAGAGTAGATCAATAGCACAAACACAGAAATGAGAGCCCATATAAGGAATTTACAGTATCTCGAGCCAGCTAAGCATGCAAAGCAATTATTACAGTTGTAAACTGTGTGCAGGGCAGCAGCTAGCCACTCTTCTAGCGGTCAGATACAAGTAATACAACTAGAGCAGATAATGAAAGCCACATAAATTAAAGATGGTTTACAGGAAGCAGTCACTGTGCTTCAAAAGAAGTCTTGAGAAAGTAATCTGTACAGCAGGCCTAGCACATGAGACAGCCACAGCAAAATTTAAAGGGTTTGCTTTAGTTGTTTTTTAATCCTAAACTGATGATAGCAGGAGAGAAAACTTGAACTACTGAAGGACTTGCTACAAGAAAATTTCTTACACAAAGAATTGCAAAGGCAGAGATAAGCCACAAAGAAGACATGTAGCAGAACAAAGGCAGTCAAAAGAAATGAAGCAACAATGGAATAAAGGAACAAACTGCCATCCAAATTGCACATCTACACATCAGAATGACTGGGCTTTTGTCACTGAAAAGAAAAACACATTTGATAAGGGATATATTAATATGTTTGAAGTATTCACCCATTTGGCATGAAGAGCAGAACTTAAATAGTAACACTAATTTAAACAAGTATTATATACTTTGTGTCCCAAGATAATTTAATTACAACTGCAAAGAGAAGAATGATTACATTATTTGGAGAAAACAGCTTACTTTTGGAGAACAGCTAGTAGTCACAGTAAGTCATTTATTAGAGGTAAGAGATTATAGGAGGAAGATTACCTAAGAACATGAGGTTCCTGTTAAATTCTCCATCTGAACACTTACTGTTAGATACAGATCCTATTTAGGTTCATATAAATGGACAAAACCAGAATCATAGAATCAACTGGGCTGGAAAAGACCTCCGAGATCATCAAGTCCAACCCTTGATCCAACCTCACCACAGTTACCAGACCATGGCACTGATGCCATCTCCAGGGACAGCGAATCCACCACCTCCCCAGGCAGCCCATTCCAATGCCTGATAACTCTCTCTGTAAAAAATTTTTTTCTAATATCCAACCTAAACCTCCCCTGGCAGAGCTTGAGACCATGCCCTCTTGTCCTACTGCTGCTTCCTGGGAGAAGAGACCAATCCCCACCTGGCTACAACCTCCTGTCAGGGAGTTGTAGAGAGGGATGAGGTCTCCCCTGAGCCTCCTCTTCTCCAGGCTGAACATCCCCAGCTCCCTCAGCCTCTCCTCATAGGACTTGTGCTCCAGTCCCTTCCCCAGCCTTGTTGCTCTTCCCCGGACCTGCTCCAGCCCCTCAATGTCCTTCCTGAACTGGGGGGCCCAGAACTGGACACAGCACTCCAGGGGTGGCCTCACCAGCGCTGAATACAGGGGAAGAATCCCTTCCCTGCTCCTGCTGCCACACTCTTCCTGAGCCAGGCCAGGATCCATTGGCCCTCTTGTCCCCCTGGGCACACTCTGGCTCCTGTTCAGCTCCCTGTCCATCCCCACTCCCAGCTCCCTTCCTGCCTGGCTGCTCTCCAGCCACTCTGGCCCCAGCCCGTGGGGCTGCCGGGGGTTGTTGTGGCCAAAGTGCAGGACCCTGCCCTTGGCCTGGTTGAACCTCATCCCCTTGGAATCAGCCCATGGGTCCAGCTTGGCCAGGTCCCTCTGAAGAGCCTTCCTGCCTTCCAGCACATCAACTCCCCCCCCCCAACCTGGTGTCATCTGCAAATTTGCTGATGGTACACTTGATCCTCTCATCTAGATCATCAAGATGGTAAATATCATAAAGGTAGTAAATAGAACTGGGCCCAACAGTGATCCCTGGGGGACACCACTAGCGATCGGCCATCAACTGGATGCAGCACCATTCCCTTCCACTCTCTCAGGGTTTCAGAATGAAGGGCACCACATGCAAACATGTCTTGACTTTGGCTTAAACCCCTTTCATCTGTAACTGAAACACAAGTTCAATCCTTGCAAAAGTTCAGTAGGTGTTGATGTGGCACTTGCGGACATGGGTTAGTCCTGGCCTTGGCAGCGCTGGCTTAATGATCGTAACCTTAACGATTCTACGATCCTAAGAATTCCAAATCTCATTTGACAAAACTGTATTTGATTCAAAAAGGCAACTGTGTTCGATACACACCCTAAGAACCAGAGACTTGCTGCTTTGTGCTGTCAAAGGCAAAATTCAAACCAAACCATTTCTTACCTTCCTCTAAAAACGGTGAATAAACCCAGTTTCACTTCCCCCTGACAGTTAGGAGCAGTTCCACAGCTGCTGTCCATTACTCTACGGAGAACAGCGTAAAAGCCTGAAATAACTATTTACTTCTTAATTTTCTGACCACAGCACAGTGGTCCTTGCCCACGATCTACGTGTGTTCGCACCTACCAGTCCAGCGCCCACGGGCACTTCCGGGCGCACCGGCTGCACCGGGCACTCCGCCCCCCGCGCTCCTCCCGGGGCCGCCCCGAAGGTGCCCCCGGAGCCGGGTCCCCCCGCAGGTCCCCCCGCGGTGCCCCCGGGGGCGGCCGATGCGCGGCCCTGTCCCGCCGCGTGACGTCACCGGGGAGGTGCGCGGGGCAGCCAATGGGGCGGGGGCGGCCCCGCCCCGCGCGAGGCCCGGATGTGTAAACAAACACCCCGATAAGTGTGGCGGGGCCGGGGGGGGACACTCCGCAGGGGCCCCGCTGTGCCCAGAGTGGGGCGGGCCCGGCACCGGCCGGGAAACAGCGGCTTCCTGCTGCGTGTGGGGAGAGGGAAAACGTGTCGGAAATCGGCCTCCCCGCGTCGTTCCTTCTGCGTTTAAAGAAAGGAACGACGCGAAATAAGCTTCAAGAGTCTTTGGGCAGCTGCACAAAGCCGGACGCGGCCGGTGCGCGCGCTCTCGCTAACCTGCGGTGCGATTGCTCCAGCAGTGGAAGGCTCACAAAGTTAAAAGACTGAGCCACGGGAGCCTCACTGTCACTTCAGGTACCGGGAAATAGCAGGAGAGAAGAAGCGCGGAGAAAGTTACCGGCTGGCACTCCGTGCCCCCGCCGGACGGGTGCCGCTGCCCGTGCGCCTTTCAGCCGTTTCCTCTCACGCCGGAGCACGAAACTGCCGTGCGGGTGACGCCGCCGCCTTTTCTCCCTCCACCCCCGCAGCGATTCCCGCAGGACAGCGGCTCGTAGTCCCCGCTCCAGCCACCGGCTCCGTGCGGGGACACACCGCGCCCGGCCCCGCTCCGGGCGGGGGGAGCGCGGGGAGTCCGCACCGTACCCCTGCCCGCCGAGCTCAGCCTCGCCCCCCCTCAATTATGTAAACCGCCCCCACCCGCCCCGTGCCGAGGAGGCTGCGGGCAGACAGCGCTGCCGTCATTTCCAGGCGCTATAAATAGCGCCCGAGTCTCCTCCCGCCACCGAAGTTGCCTCGGCGGCCCCGCGCACACGCCAGACCCCGGCCCCCCTGCCGGAGGCAGCTCGGGGCTCCTCTGGCAGCCGCCTCCCTGCCCCAAACAATAAATGCCAGCGCAGGGGAGATCGGCCGCTCCTCGCCCGCTCGGTACTCACCGCTACGCCGGCTCCGCTCCCAGCCCCGGCTATGAGCAGCCCCCGGGCCCCTCTCCCTCAGGGGGCACGGGAAGGAGGGGAGGCGGGACCCCCGGTGCTCGCGCGGCGGTCAGCGAGGGCTCTGCGCCGGGCCCTCACCTTCAAACAAAGAGGGGGGATTGGGGGGAGACACGACGGCTTCCCTCGCCTCGAAGGTACCGTCTCGGCGGTGGCCGCCGGGCGGGTCATAGACGGGGGCCGGGCGCGCGTGTGCCGCGCCGAGGGCCGAGGGGCGGCCGAGGCATCGTGCCGTGCCGAGCCCTGCCGAGCCCCGCGCTCCCGCCGCCGCCGCCTTTGTTTTGCTTTGCCCGGCCCGGGGGCGCAGCGCCCGTTAAACCCCTCCCCCCGCCGCCCCAGCCAATCGCCGCGCGGCCCCTCGCGCGCGCGCCCCTCGCGCCCGGTCCCGCCCCTTTCTCCGGGCTTTGTGGAAGAGGGAACCGGGCTCGGTGGGCGTGGCGAGGGGTTGGTTGGCCCCGCCCCGCCGGCCGTTGCGCGCGCGGCGGGGCGGCGCGTGCCGCTGGGCGCGTGCCGCGAGCGCCCCCCCCCCCCCCCCCCCCCCCCCGAGCCCCCTCACGCCCGGGGCGAAGCGGGAAAGGCGCGTCGCGCGCTCCCTGAGGGCTGAGGCGGGACCGGCCCCTCAGGGGAGAGCCGGGGCGGGACCCGCGGAATCAGGGAATAGAACGAAGTAAACCCACCCTCCCCCGCCGAAGCCAGGGTTTCATCGCTGTAAGTCGGCAGTGTCGGATTGCTCAGTTTGTTTGTCGTCCCAACACACGTAGTGAGGTGTCAGTCCAGTCATGATGGACATCAGAAAGTATTTCCCCTCCGCATTTCTGCTCGAAGTAGGTAAAACCCTGAGAGGTGACACTGGTCTGGTTAAACCTGAGTGTTCTAGGAAAAACATTAAGAAAAAAAGCACAGTTGGAGGCTGAAAGATTAGGATTGGTCATAGCGCTTGATTCCAGTTTGGGAAGAGCTCGTTGCTTGTAACAATTTTGAATATTAAGGGGACCAAAACACAACTCACACGCAACTGGTTTCCAAAGCATATCAAGTCTGTTGGTAATGATCGAGTTTTCCTTAAAAAAGTCAATAAAAGCCAGCCCCTGGTTTATTTTGGCTGTACCCTTCTATTTCCATGGACAGAGTGCAGGGACACAAACTGCCAGAGCCTGTGATGAAAACTGTCATTTACCCTGTAGCCCCGGGCAGAGCTCTGCTTCCTTTTCTAGTCAATCCTGACATCTTTTTCTTTTTTTTAAATCTTTATCAAGTGGGTTTTTTTTTTTTTACTTACAGGGTTTTGGTACTTGGCAAAATATTAGAGAGATAGAATCCATTACAATTCAGATAGTGGCTATAATCAATAAACCTTGTGCTAGTTGATTTTATGCTGCCTATCCATTTTTTAACGTAATTCACATGCTTATATATTTTCTGTCATATGCTTCTTCCTTCTTAATGGCAAATTAATGGCCAGTCATGAAGAACAACACAAAAAAATCACACTTGCACAATAAAAAAGAAATATGTTTTGGCAAAACATCAGGAAACAAACATCTGTGAGAGTATTTCCAGTAGGGCTCTTATTGCAATTTTCCCATAATTTCTCCAGCTCTAGTGCTGTAGTTTTGTAAAAAAAGGGGAAAGGTGATAATCCTTTTGACTTACTTAGCTTCACCTCAGAGTGCACCAAATCCACCTTCCTAATCCAGTTCCCACAGATGAGTTAGATGAGGTATATGGTAAAGACATACAACAAGATAATAACTGTAACAGAGAAAAACGCAGGGATGTAGCATGGTTTAGTAGAGAAGTTCCATTAAATCTGAGACAGTGCAAAGAGTAGATAAATCTTGAGGTGCTTCCTAAAAAATGGCTCCAGCCAGTTCAAAGTTATAAATATCCAATTAAGAGTTTTACAAATTTTTAACAAGCTGTTTCTTTTACTTCATTTTGAGGGGCCTGTTACAAAATGGACTTACAAGATGGACCTTTTAGTCCATTCTTCTTTACCTAGTCAGAAGATACCTGACTAGATGGATGGCTGTTGTCATCTGGCACAGCGGATCCTTTACCCCATTTATGCAATTGCCTATAGAAACTCTCCTCTGTGTTGCATTAGGATTAATTGCTTTGACCTTTTCGTAACAGTTAATACTTATATTGTACTTGACCGGTTCTAAGTATCATTCCACGGTATATTTGCAACAGTTCCTACCTTTATCATCTTTTTGAGAATTAGGAACTAGGAATATTGAGCAATGAGCAGAAAGTCACGATAAAGACAACACTGATCTCTATGTTGTCCTCCCAGCCCACTAGTGAGGTGTCAGTGCACCTGTCATGACTGACACCTCACAACTGGCTGAAACCAGGGAGGTGTCAGTCGTGGCTTACATGGCCTGACATCTCACTGGTTCACTGAAGCTGGTGGCAAAGCTCCCACCACGATCCACAGCCCTGACCCTCAAAGCCAGTGATGTTACACGTGCACGGCCTCTCCATGGATCACAGCTGCACAGGGGCCTGATGCTGGACTGCAGTGAATGCTGCCGTACCTCTCACACTCTCTAGAGTCCTGATGGTGCTCTCATTCAGTAAGGACTCAAAGAAGCACAAACTTGGAATTACTTGTGCTGCTGTATGTGCTTTTCTACAGATATGAACGCAATATCAAGTTTCTCTCTTCTGTTTACCTCAAGAGACATGGTTTAGGTGTTAGGATCTGACCAGGTTACACAGAATCAGGAATTAAAGTCTACATGAGGAGTAAAAAAATAACCAGCAGTCCAATGTGGAATGTAGAAGTGACTCTCTTTTTCAGAGATGACAAGATGGACAAGGAGGAGAAAGAAGTGCCTGTCATTCAGCAAGGACAGCAAAGGATCCTGAAAGCTGAACAGTGTTTCCATTGTTTTAACACAAGCTCCGCTTCTCCACTGGAAGATCCAAATGACAAGGACACTGAGGGTTTCTTTCTCTTTGCTGTTTGTTTCCCTAGTAACAAATACACAAGCTGCACTGTTAGAATACCATCCTTTTCTTTTTTTTTATTTTTTTTTTGAAGATCAAGACATGTCGAGGATCTATTCAGTGCGTTCAGTAGCAGGTTAAGGTTGCTGGTACGAATGAACCTCTGATACAGCATGAGGTACTTGAAAGTACTGCACGTAGTCAGTGGCTGAGACAGTGAAATAACTTAAAAAGCATGGAAGAAAAATGCTTGCATCTCAATTTCTATACTGTTTAGGTTATAAACTCTTAGGGTGAAATCTGCCTTTCACAGCAGAGCTCTGATTTGCTTAGCAAAGCAAATGGCACAGTACTACTATTAAATCACATGTAGTGTCCTAATTGTATCCCATTCCTATTATCATCAGTAACATAATGCACACCATTTGAATGTGACTGATTTTGACAGGGACAACTCTCACCTATGTTTTTGTTGTGAGTTCTGGATTGTGAAACATCTCTTTAAATATAATTCTCTAATGGGAGGGAGTAGTGCTGCTGTTTCCTGTTAGGATTCTAGTTGAGGTTATGGTAATGGTCTGTAGTTGTGGAATTCACTGGGTTATGAGAATTGGAGAGATGGAATGCAGTCATTGTCTGTGTGGTTTAGCACAATAGAAATAGAATCAGCAGTGAATCTATCCAAAACCATAAAAAGCCATTCTGAAAACAAGACAAACTGAAAACATGACAGGTAGAGGCAGGAAAGACCATTAGAGGCATCTAAACTGAGAAGCAATGTCTGGATCATTCCTTCCTTTGCTCCTTCAGAATATGTTAAGTCTCAAAAGCTTGGAGACTTTAACCAAATTTTTTTAAAATTGCTTGGTCTTAGAATGTCAAATTCTGGTTTCTCTTGTTTTAGCTGAAAGAAGACCACTGAAAGAAAAAAAAAATCTTTTTTTTTTTTTTTACACTGATTTAACTTCTTTCCTACATGCTTGCCATGCATGTGAGCTTAGCAATGAAAAACAAAAAGTCTGATCTTCTTTTCAGAGTTACTTAGGTTTGTAACATTGTGTTCTCCAAAGTTCTCCAAGGAAAAGAAATACGCATTTATTTCTCTGGATGTGGCCGCAGCTGGCCTAGAGTATAATGTAGAAATAACTGACAAAATTAATATCAAACTTCTGATTATATAATACAAAGATATTACATTATGCATTAATTGTAAGCCAGCTTTTTTTTAGGTCATAAATTATACTGGTATTTGTCACAGTGTATTTTACTTACATGTCTGGAACTGCATGTATAGGGAGGTATTTCAGGTGAGCAAATAATTTAGTATCTTTTCATTTGGGATGTTTTTTGAAATCAGTAGAAGTGCCAATGTAAAACCTGCAAACCCAGAAAAGATGCAGTGGAACTGCATCTTCAGTGTATCAGGGAATATCAAGCAATATGATCAGCTGTCCTGAAATACTTTGATGTCTCAAGCTATCCTCAAGTGGAGAATAGGCAGAAGAATTTATTCAGGGGCTATGAATCAAACAAATCTGTATCATGCTTTTTATATGATGTAGACATCTGCTCATATACATATAAATGGGTGTGATGTGGAAAAAAGTATCAGCCAGTTCTAGATACCTAATTCAGAAGAATATATATTCTCTCTAATCAGATGGTTGAAATACACCCCACCAGAGGGCAATTTGTCATCTGCAAAATCTGCATTGCTCTGTTCATCCCCACCATCACTGTAGAAGATCTACTTTATCTATTGTGTGGCTTTTGAAATAGCAAAACCAGATGTTAATTAAACTTTTCTAATGTTCAGACTGACAGATGTACAAGTGTCCTGCCTAAGGCAGAGAAGCTCACCAGGGAATTAGCCAGCATACAAACCCTTCAAGCTTCAGCATGCCTTAGTAGCTAGGTTAAATTCTATTTATTTTTCCCCCCTGAATTTGTTTTTTAATACTTAAATATCAACTTTCACTAGAAAATCTAGACCTTTCTCTTCAGGCTAACAGTAAGAGTTGAGTTTTGTTATATATTTCTTTTGGTTTTTAAACAAAAATATAAGGCCAACAAAAAGAGTCATCTTGATATAAGCACAGTAATGAAAATGGTGATCATAAGAACAAGTGACAGCCATTTTTATTGTTGAAAATTGGTTTTTGTACTAACCAAGCTGTGGAGAGGTGAAGTTGTGTCTGTCCTCAAAAGCAGAGGCAACTGCAGGAACTGTGAGCTACTCACCAGACTGGGTAAGTGGGGAAGCCCTGCAACTGTTTGTTTCTGCTTTTCCTGCTGGCTGTTGCTGGCTTTGCTGAAAGTCTCAAGAGCAGAACAGACAATTGTAGATACATGTGTGTATCCCTCTTTCTCTCAAACTTACATGTTTTTCTAATGGGAGAATTTATAAAGGTTCCATTTGTGTTTGTATCTGGCACCGTCAATCAATTACAACTTCTGGAACTGGAGGATTCACAGGTCAGGACCAAAAGGTGAGATAAAGTAAAGCAAAGTCCTAAAAGTGGGTGAAGTCCAAACACGAGTGTTTTGACTCATTCTAATATGCTTTAGACTGTTACAAAAAAAGATTCAGGACCAAAAAGCAGTACCAAAAATATACATTAAAAGGTCTCTCTATTTTAATTAAAACTGTAGATCTAGGCAGTGGTTTAAGGTGCACATTATATCTCTCAGTCCTAACTCTAGAATTGCAAATCTTACTGTCTGTGTGCAATCTACCTCAAATATCTGTGTATGGGAAATAAGCATAAGCATTTTATGTATCAAATACGGACTTGTTCTAATAGTTAACATCGTGAAAGCATAACAGAGATGGAAAACAGGATGAAACAGTAGGCAGTCTTTACATTTGTCTGCGACCTGTTTCAGAAGTCACTATTTGGACCTAATTTCTGATGATGAAAATGCACTGGTGTAAGTGACTGAACTGGACACAATCTGTCAGTGAACAAGAGCCCTACCTACTATCTGTTACAGTAGTTCTGTAACCTCCCCCTCACCTCTGAAAAGGAAGCAGTAGTTATTTTAAGATGTCCCGAGCTGCTTTGCAAAGGGTAATGTCTAGATCATATCCAGAGACTGAAAAGACAGAAGTATTCTGAACCCCTGATGGTGGCTGGGGGATTCTGAATGCAGAGGGCTGGGGGCTGTGCCTTCCTCGAGGCTGTACGCAAGAATCACACTGCACTTACCAGGCGACTGGAAATGGCATCATCAGTTTTCCAGCTCTTCACTCCGGGTAAGTAAATTGCACAGTGCAGTGGAATATTTAGTATGCAAACAAGAGTGGCGACACAATAAACCAGCACAACAAACACGTACAAACTAATTGCACTTGATGAGGACTCTAGCATTTAAAGCACAAAAGCTGATGCTGGCAGGGATTGTCTGCATTTAGCAGTAAAGAAGGCAGAAGACATGTTTCTCTGAGGCAAAAGGAAAATGTAGTAGATTAAAGAGAACTACATAAGCTTTTCAATGTACATACACATATTAAAAAATCCACCTTTATGCAGAACTGTCATCTATTTCATGCAGCTACCATCTTCTTGGCTGATTGTTGGCCAGCTGTTGCTTATCTGAGAAGTTAAACCTGTGCTTTGTGAGCTGTAGAAAAGTAGAGATTAATTTTCTGTTGATACATGTTTTGCAAAATCACATTCTGCATATGCTTGCCTATATATGCAAAACAGTTGGCTAGAGGCAGGGATTCAAGCTTTTTCTGTTTTAGGATTGTTCAGTTTCCTTTTTTTTTCTTTCCTCTCTGAGATGTGTTTCTCATCTTAAAACCTAGACATACTTCCATCTTCATTTTCTATCCTGTCCAGATTAGGGCATCCAGCACAAGCATATTCTGTCGTTTCACAGATAAATAGAGCCAGGGGATTACTGTAATCACGGGGTACAACTCACTGCGAGACAGAAGCCGTGTGACTAGTGATACTACTGGTCATTTAAACCACAACATCCCCTAGGGAAACATCCTAGAATATCCTGTCTCTACAAATTGGTAATTCCTAGTTCCAATCCTTAATTACTCTCATTGACAAATATATACATATTTCTCCCTTGAATGTATTTAGTTTTATCTTTCAGCTGTTTTTTCCTTCATCTCTGTAAGACAGAGGAGACAATAGGACTCACTGTAGACATAAGAGCAAGTCATCCTTTTGAGTAATAGCATTTTATAAAGCACATTTTTCATTTTCTAAGTTGTTTCTGTATCTCTTCTCAGAACCTTCTCCAAGTTATCAAATAGTTTCTTGAGCTGTGGATTCCAGCAGCCATTTTTGTCCCTATCAAGCATGGACTGTCCTTTTCCTATTTAGACAGTCACATTATCATATCTATTTGTTCACTTCGTTGCCAGAAGTTCAACTGATTTTTCATTGGGATCCCCAAAGGTGTTTCAGAATTGCTGTTCCCACTTCAAAAACAGGAATACCTGCCTATTCCCACCTTTCTTTCTAAGCAAGGAGATTTTTGAAAAGTTTAAAGCCCAGAGAAGCCTTATAGAGAATGAAACAAAATCTCGCTGAGTATATTACCTTCCCTGGATTACCAATAGCATTCCAGATACATCAGTGACACTGACTTGTTTTTTCCTTAAGTTCTAACACCACTTTCAATAACTTATTAGGAGCACATAGTAACCCTTCTCTCATTGCTTAAATGAAAGTTAAGCAAATTGCTTAAATGAAATTAGATTTGAAAATCACTGATGTATAAGAGAATATAAGCAAAATGGACTTTTGGGAAGAGACTACATGGTAATTGGTCTAATAAAAATGTTAGCTCACCCTAAACATCCCGTCTTAGAGATGTTTTTAGACAATGATAGCTTACATAATGCTAAGAAAATACATCTGTTAACATTAATCTGTTATTAATCCATCAGCCTCACAGCAACTATTCTAATATAGTTAGCTGTTTGAATAAACAATATAGGAAAGATAAAATGGGTGCTACAGATGTTTAACTTTGGTCTTTTCTACAAGCAGTACCATTGTGCAGATCATAAGCTGTACAAACATATCCATTTTTA